ACTATTGTGGGTGGGAACATTGCCATCATTTTGTATGTGTGTTTTTCACGCGTAAATCCTCATTTCTAGAATCCTTTTGATGCTACCACTTGATTTCCAGTGAAAGTTTCTTCTCTCTATAACAATGGAGTCTAAGAAGATCTTCCTTGGATTTTAAATGGAGCACCATCTGACACCGTTGCAGCCTCCCCGTGGTCACACAATCAGAATCCGGGTGTGTGACAACTGGTTCACAATGATGACGGTTGCGGCATCTCGGGGTCACAGGATCCCCTTTTGCAACCTTCTGACAAGCAAAGGATGCAATCAACAACCATGTTACTAACAGCTACAGTGATTCGCTTAACGGTGGCAAGAAAGGTCATAAGATGGGGCCATTAACAAATGTTTCACTTAGCAACAGACATTTTGGGCTCAGTTGTGGCCGTAAATCAAGGACTACTCTATTCCCTTGACATTAAAGGCCTTAATAATTCAGCACCAGACATCCTGATACCATGGCCCTGTGTTGCTTTATTGCACATGATGTGCAGATGGTGGCATTTTAAGAGCATCTCTGCGCTTGTTTGGTCCAGCCTCACAGTCACTTTTGCACGTTCCGCTCTTCAGGTGTCTGCAGTTGAGTGTTCTTGGTTCTTACAGTTGGAAAGATCTTGCATTTCGGGTGCTTTTCTTGGCTGCTCCCCGGTGTGCCCTCCAGGAAGCCTCTGTCAGGACTGTCATCCACCTGCACCAGCCATGCTTTGCCAGATACGAGTCTGCTCTACGCAATGAGTGGAAGGAGCTATGGGGAGATAAAGGGTTGAGATAAGGGGAATCAAAACTATTCATTGTGCCCTCCTGTGAGAGCCACTTGCTGCTCCAAAGTCACACCTTGTAATGCAACACTCTCCAGCCCAACAAATCGGGGACCGTTACCAAAACAATTTGTTTGACTGTAGTTGGACAAGGGGGGATATCCAGAGGAAAGGGTAGGGAGGAGTGTGTGTATGGAGTTTGCACTTGTGAATGTAGGTTTAGAGTTTAGAATAGAATAGAATTCTTTTTTTATTGGCCAAGTGTGGTTGGACACACAAGGAATTTGTCTTGATGCAAATGCTCTCGGTGTCCATAAAAGAAAGGATACATTCGTCAAGAGTCGAGAATCATCAGGTGCAACACTTAATGATAGTCATAGGGTACAATCAGCAATCAAATCATACTAGGAAACAGTCCATATAAATCGTAAGGATACAAGCGACAAAGTTACAGTCCTACAGTCACAAGTGGGAGGGGAGGGGTGATCAGGAGTGATGAGAAGATTAATAGTGATAGTAGTGCAGACTTTGTAAATAGTTGGACAGTGTTGAGGGAATTAATTGTTTATCAGAGTGAGGGCGTTCAGGAAAAACTCCTCTTGTGTCTAGTTGTTCTGGTGTGCAGTGCCCTATAGTGTTGTTTTGAGGGCAGGAGTTGAAACAGTTTATGTCCGGGATATGAGGGGTCTGTAGATATTTTCACAGCCCTCTTTTTGACTCGTGCAGTATACAGGTCCTCGAAAGAAGGCAAGTTGGTAGCAATTGTTTTTTCTGCAGTCCTAAATACTCTCTGAAGTCTTTAGAGTTTCAGTGTGACTGAATTCTTGAGAGTTTTACCAGAGTTTTTACCTGGTTTCTTCTTCCAGTTGGGTCAAGGGACACGCCGTGGAGGTTGGCTGTGCTGTCTGGAATTCCCGAACTTGCATTCTTAACATGCCTGGTGAGCCGTGCTAAACCAACATTATAGAAGATTAATTTCTTCATTCTTGCGGCATTATCAGTAACTGTCACTTTTTGTAATTAAAGTTGAGATTCTATCTTCATCGCTATGATTGGTTCAATTGCTGAAAAACATAAAACCCTCTGGAGAAAGAGGGTTTAAAAAGCTTGAATGGAATCCTAATTGAATGGAATTCAAAATGCTTTGTGTCATCTTGATGTCTTAGCAGACGGGACTGCGTGACAAACAAGCATTTTGCTCTTTTATTCTGGACACCGGGGGCTTCTCATGACACAAACAGAGCCTGATTTGAGGCTGGGCCTATTTTAATTGCTGGATTTAATTTCTCAAATATTTACCTTGGTACAAGAATTAAAACAAATGTTGCAAAAACTCTGGGATTTTGCTAGGTAATGAAAATTAAATGGGTCTGTGGCGAATAGACCTACATTTTTGATGTTCTGGAAAGTCCCCCAAGGGTTTAACTTGCATTTAGATTAAATTGGTCTGCTGAGCAGCACACTCTGGTCCCAGATGTGGTTTTCCTGATGTGACTTGATGACATCTAAGTCAAAAGGGATGCTTCTTTCCAGGTGACCTCTACTGATCTCTGTCAGTGGGGTTTGTTTGACAGTGCAGTGAGAACGGGGTGTTCTGACCCAAACCTTGTTCCAAGGAAACAAACACGAAACGGGGGTAACAACAAAACGTTTTAATGATTCTTGATGAATTCCATTCCTTCCCGATTAAAAGGCTGTTTCAAACTAATTGTCTCTGATAAGAACGAGCCTTGCCAAGGTGGTGCAAGGCTTCCAAGAACACAAGATAAAGTTGCCAAGAAATAGTTCAAACACAAAGAGTCTCCAAACACCAACCAAGATATTCCAAATGTCCACAAGGCTTGAATGCCAAAACTTCTTTGCTTCCTGCAAAGAACTCTAGTTTCTTAGCTGGCTTTTATCCCTTAAGGGAGGGGCCATCACCTTGCAGCCTTACTCCTGAGTCGCACGTGCTGCTGCAGATAGTCTTTCCTTCGAGCAGCCCTGCGTGCACACGCACTGGGCACAGGCTCCTTGGGGACCTCTTCCTCGTTGCTGCCAGCCTCCACAATCTCCAAAGGCAGCACTGCACTCCCTGATGGTCCTGGCCCCAACCCTGCATCACACGCAGGCTCCTCATCGGAGTCCTCGCTCTCCGAGACCTCAGCCGTCCGCACCTGCTGCCAGCAAACCACAATGGGGCGGACGGACTTTTTTTTAGTTCTCATTCTGGCCTCCAGTTCTCCCATGCAGGTGCTAACCAGCCAGGGATGTTGGCAAGGTATGGTCAAAAAAGTCAGTATTGTTGTCATCAAAGTTCTGCCTTTTTAAATGTTGTCGTGTTTTGCTTTCAAGGTCAGTTATGGTTAATTAGATGCTGCTCCCTTCTGGGCCGCTTTTGGGCCGCTCCCTTCTGGGCCGCTGAGAAAGGAATTGAGTTTGCTAGTCTTGTGAAACGAAGGACTAGGGGTGCCGTCACGGCCGTCTTCCACTATCTCAGGGATTGCCACAAAGAAGAGTGGGGGTCAGCCTATTCTCCAAGCCAACTGAAGGACAAGGACAAGAAGCAAAAGGTGGAAACTAATCAAGGAGGGAAGCAACCAAGAATTAAGGGGAAATTTCCTGACAGTGGGAACAAGGAGCCAGTGGAATAGCTTTGCCTTCAGAAGTTGTGGCAGCTCCAGCCCTGGAGGCTTTTAAGAAGAGGTTGGGCAACCCTTTGTCCAGAATGGTATAGGGTCTCCTCCTTGATTGGACTAGAAGACCTCCAAGGTCCCTTCCAACTCTGATGATGGTGATGACGAAGGCGTCCTCTCTGCAGCCTTGGGAGAGGTCGCTTGGGTTTTTTGCCTTTGGAATTGTTCAGAAGTAGAACTCCAAGTCAAGCAGCCGGTTTATGTTCTTGTTTTAGGTCTCATCCCACTGAAAGAGAGTGGAAAATCTGGGATTTTGCTGTGTAGTTTTTTTTTTAGCGTAGCATTGCGGGAGAACCAACTTCCTGTAAGGCTGTAGAAATGGGTCCACGTAGGTCCTCCTGGTCTCTGCTCTGCTGATGGAATTTCTCCTTGAGACTCTTGATTTCTTTATCTTTTTTGGCAGTGGTTTACTCTCCAAGCTTGTTTCAATTTAGCTTCCAGACGTTTCGTTACCAGACTAGGTAACGGCATCAGCAGGATTGTCTTGTCCTATTGGCTTCTGAATGTCTTAGCTTATAAATGTCTTGTATTCCAGTGTGGCCAGTTGGTTGTGTGATTGTTTGTTCCTTTGGAGCTATCTTTACATGCAGAGGAGCTGATTGATTCTCTTGTTGGTTGGTTGTTCAAATGGTCTGGTGTCATGGCCCTGTTAGAGGAGGAGGAGGAGGAGGAGGAGGAGGAGGAGGAGGAGGTGAGGCCAACAGAGAGGGAGGGCCCAGGCCAGAGGAGGGGCAGTGCTCCGGAGATGAGCAAATACTTCTTTCCCCACCTGATCCATAAGTGTAGAGAAAGGAGAGGAGGCAGAGTCAGTGCAGGGCGACTCGACTACTACTCGGGAGGAGGGTGTGCCCCACCCCTCCTCCCGAGGATCACCTGGAGAGTAGCATTTAAGGAGACACTGTGGGGAGGGGCTTTTTTCGGGGATAAGTGCTGTATTTTGCAGCGACACACTCCACGGCTCCCGAGAAGAACCTTGCTCCAGAATCCTTGCTTGACGTGGAATGACATTGGATCCTTTGCCTTGACATTTGTTGCAAACTTTGCCAAGTTTTGCCAAGTCTTGTCCCCAGAGCAGTGCTGCTTCTGTGGACTTTCACTGCGGGGAAGTTGCACGAAGTGCATGTACTTGAGCCTTGCGCCTGGACTGTAGGGGTAACCTGTGGGCAGAGATTTTGGAGAATGGACCGGAACTTGCTGGATGGTGGGGATTGTGGGGACGGTGGTGGAATAAAGGCTGACCAGCTTCCACCTAGCCCATGTGGCTTGCATGCCAACCCTGGGTCATAACATCTGGTTTCACACATATTCATATGCTGGATCTAGAACAATATGCTTGTTAATTGCTCCTTTGGTAGAACACCCAGCTTCCATAAATTGACGTGTGTGGCAGGTGCTGACGTGGCCAGTTGAATAAGTTATATAGATTCTTACGATATTATTTCCTAGATGCAACATATTCATAGCTGACATTGCTGAATTGCACAGCCTTTAACGCTGAACTTTTATTTATTTTTTCCTCTTTCTTCAGCTTTGCTGCTTCTCTATGATGTCACAAACCGAGCATCCTTCGACAACATCCAGGTAAGCCTTGAGGACTCCAGACAGTTTGTGCTATTGCAAAGATGCACGTGTCCAAAGACTGAATCCATGCAAAGTAGTGTTCTGACCCAAGCCTTGTTCAAATTAAACAAACACAAACTGTGTATAAAAGCAAACCTTTTTTAATGCAGCACTGAGAATTCTATTCATTCCCAGCCAAGAGTCATTTAAACCTAATTGTCCAAGATAAAAGCAAGCACTTTCAAGGTTGTGAAAGGCTGCCAAGAACAGAAGTCTAATTACTGATAAATATCCAATATTCAAAAACAAACCGGAGTTAGCAGGGCTTCAATGAGGACTCAGAGTCTAAAGAACTTCTTTGCTTCCTGCAAAGAGCACATCCCCGAGGGCTGGTTTTTATCCCTTATGGGAGGGACCATCACCTTCCAGCCTTACTCTTGAGTTGCCCTTGCTGCTTCAGCTGCTCTCTCCTTCGAGCAGCCCTACACACACACACACGCACTGGGCACAGTCTCCCCGGGGACCTCTGCTTCACTGCTGCCAGACTCCAAAAGCTCTGAAGGCAGCACCCCACTCTCTGATAGTCCTGGACCCATCCCTGCCTCAGATGGGGTCCCCTTGTCCAAGTCCTCGCTAGACTCCCTGACTGGTTCCCTTTTGTCCTCGCTGTCAGAGACCTCTGCCGTCTGCACCTACTGCTGGAGAGCCACAGCAAATAGATCCTGCAGCAGGGCAGGTGAAGTTCTTATTAGGCTCTTCTCTTTTTCTGAACAAAAGCGATTATACGTATCCCAGGGTAATGTTGCAATCTGGGTTGGTCACCAGGACAAGAGGTTTAATATTCTGAGCTTTCCAGCTTGTGCTTAGTGCATCCTAAGAGAATTTCTCTGTACAGAGGGTGGGCTTTGGGCTCTTCTGTGTGTGGTGTTTATACTGTGCCTATTATATGTGGCTTTTCAGATGTTGATTGGGGTGCTGATGGCTGGCTATTAAGTCCTTGGCTATTGTTTCCTTGTGCTGCCAAGTCCTCAGCTCCTAAGTGGTGGTAAATCAGCACTCCTGTTGACTGACAAGGGGCTCATTTCCCAGGTTTCAATCATTTCTCTGGCTGTTTTTGTGCCTGCTCTCCCAACAATCTTAATACCTTCAAAATTCAATGTATATCCTTGTTCACTGCAGTGTGAGGCTACCAATGAGCTTCGGTCTCTTTGTCTGACTGATCATTTGTGTTCTTGCAATCTGTTGGTTAGCTTCCTCCCTTTCTGTCTACATAGTCATAGAGGTAATCTTTGCAGGGGATCCAGTAGATTACATTAGAAGTATCTCCCATCTCCAGGTGATCTTTGCAATGCATGATTTGCTGCTTCTCTATGATGTCACAAACTGAGCATCCTTTGACAACATCCAGGTAAGCCTTGAGGACTCCAGACAGTTCGTGCTATTGCAAAGATGCAGATGTCCAAAGACTGAATCCATGCAAAGTAGCCTCTGGACAGTGTACGATGCCCACTTGCAGATCTCGGAAGTTGCTTCCGAAATGTTTTGGATGTATGGCAGGTTGTGCCCTGTAATCTGAAAGCTCGGAAAACCAAACCTCTGGTTCTGGTGACCAACCCACATTGGCTCCTACAACTTCTCCTTTTCTCCTCCATGTTGAGCTTGCTGGTTCTCATCCTCTCTTCCTTCAGACATGGAAGAAAGAGAAAGGAAGTATGCTAAAAGCAAAATCAAAACCGCTCTGCGCTCTCTTGTCCATTTCTTCTGATGTGAATGGTTTTTTAAAAAAATTGCATCTCTTGTAGAGATAAAGTTTCTGGAACCAGCTCAGCTGGTGCATTTGCCAGGGTGGATCCTTCTCCTTGGGTTTCTCCTGATCTAAAACATGTTTGGACTTCAAAGAGGCACGGAGAAGGCCAAGCTCAGAAGGCCAAGGCCACCGCCGCTTGGCTCCAGCCTCCATAGTGCCTAGTGCAGTTTGGAGAGGAAGTCGACTCTGTGGAGGTCCCCAGAGAAGTTTCTGTTTGCATGCTGTTGCTGCTGGACAAACTGGCCTCTGAAGGTCATGTGTGGATGCATCAAAGGGCTTCTGCACATCTTAGAACATAGAATGATAACAGTTGGAAGGAACCGTGGAGGTCTTATGATCCTGAGCCACAGTGTCAGCAGGTATACAGGTTCAGCAAGCCCTGGGCACCTCTGGGTCTTGATGCTGAGAGCGGAGAGGGACCAGGTAGCCCACTACTTCCTTCAGTCCTAGCGAACCCAGGGGATGGCTGCAGCCTGGGAACTTCCGGGAGAGACCACCCTTGCCTATCCCTCCTGTGGAAGGTCATGAGTGGGTTCCTGATCTTTGTCTCCAGAAGTGTAAAAGTGTAAAGGTCTGTCTCAAAGAGGGGGAAATAGGGATTCACCTGTTGGTTAAAAATAACTTCACACCCCCTGGGAATCAGCCAGGGCTTCTGAATTGGATTCAGACATAACTATTGAGATCTGGGTCTGGCATGAGAGTTGTGATGAAGGCTGGGGATTGGGGTCTCTTTGCTGGATGCCTGAAAAAGGCAGGGGCTCCTTTGAGTTCTGTCTCTCTGCACCCCTTCTCCTAGCTTACATTGACCCAACAACCAGCCCCAGTTCTGACCAGTGCTGGGATTGTCTGGGTGGAGCAACTCTGCAGGGACACCACTCATCCAGGGCTCACATAGACTTTTGTGATGTCTCTAGCAAAGGCTCTCGCGCCCAGAGTCCACTGGAGTTAGGTCTCTGATAATTCTAATAAATAAACAGAATTCTCTCAGCGCTTAGATGATCTGGCTATGTTGGTTTTTTTTATTGTTGAGAAGAATGCCCTTATGCTGCCTGAACACTTTCCCCAAATGGAACGAGCACGGAGCATTATGCTCTTTTTCTTGAACTTGGAGCTTAGCGCCTTTGCTCCCTCTGCCTCTTAGTGCCCCATAATATGCAGCCCTTCCTTCTGTTGACATTGTTCTCTGTTCTTTGGCATTGCCTGGCATCTCTGTCCGTGCAAAGTTAGATGTTTATCAAACGGACTGATAATTGCAGTGCTGTCTCCCTCTGCAAATACAAGTAAAGGATTAGACACTTCCCGCTGCTGGGGAATACAAAATCACAACCTCCAGTCCAGTGTAGTTCATTCTCTTGCGTTTGGGCGCCTTCGTTTCTGCTTGTCATCCCCTGTGATATGTTTGGCGGGAGGGAAGCTCGGTTGCTGGTTTCTGTAATCTCCGTGGGCTGCTCTTCTCTTTTGGTGTGTTGGAAGAAATATCCACCTGGTTCAGTTCCAAGCCGGGAGAAAGACCCTGGAGACAAAATGGAGGCTGATTGGAAACAGGATTTAATAATGAACAGAACCACCAAGCAGGTGTGATTCTGGCCAGCTGACCATAAGGAGTTGAGGGTGGGGGGTATTTATACTTTCTCTTGGGCTTTGAACTTGAGCTTCCTGTTCCTGTACAAGAACATGTATTCTATTGGTTGTTGTCAGACTCCCACGGGACCGTGTACAAATCCTAGGAGTTTGTCTGAGCTTAAGTTTGGTTGAAGATTGGCTGATGCAATGAAGGGGCTTGTTGGGCAATTCCTGTTGTGGATGAGGACTAACCACTACCTTATTCAGACCTTGCTGCAGGGAATTTTTTGCCTATGAATAGAGCTAGCTATCTCTTTATCTCTTAAGTGCTGACATCTGCTGAGGGCCATCAAGAAAGGTAGGGGGTCTGCCTTCTGCCTCCAAGAGCATGTTTCTCCATTTCTCATCCAGGGAAATAGAATATTCTGGCTTTTTAATATTTCTCAAAATATTTCATTCTTCTAGGAGAGGGATGGGTGCTAACTTTCCACAGGGGTGTCTGCCTTGGCGCGTCAACCTTCTGTGTTGTTTGAGGAGGGAAGAACCAGGAGAAGCTGCTTTGAACATGTGTAATGGGGGGAAAAAATCCTGGCCTCAGATGTTGAGGCTGGTGGGGTTCCTGTATGCAGAGGAAATGACTGGTTTTAACTTATTTATTTTGTTACAGTTCAGCCATTGGGAGGGAGGTGCAAGGCTTGTTTTACACATAGACTCAGGTCTGGGGGAGACAAAATTCGGCCAATCTTCCAATTCCCTGCTGGAACAATTTGCAGTATTTGCTGCTTATTTTTAATTAAGGCAGGTGCAGCCTTTGTTGTGGTTAGCTGGTGTGGATGGTTGAGGAGAGCGAGGACTCAGAGGAGGGGCCAGGACCATTAGGGAGTGGACTGCTGCCTTCAGAGATTGTGGGTGCTGGCAGCAGTGATGAGGAGGTTCCCGAGGAGCCTGTGGCAAGTGCACGTGCGTGCAGGATTGCTCGGAGGAAAGAGCAGCTGCAGCAGCACGGGTGACTCGGGAGTAAGGCTGCAAGATAATGGCCTCTCCCTCAAGAAGATAAAAACCAGCTGTGAAACAAATCTTCTTTGCAGAAGGCAAAGACGTTTTGAAACTACAGCCTCGTGGACATTCCAGTATCCTGAGTTTGTATTTGAACATTTTTGTATTGCAAATTATTTCTTGTCTGTTATCTTTTGGCAAGCCTCGCACAGTTTGGCAAGGCTTGTGCTTATCACACCTAATTATTTTGTAAAAGCATTATTGTTCCTTTTAAATTGTGTTTGATTTGTCGGAAAAGGCCGTGGGTCAGAACAGCCTTAGTGATTTCTAAGCCGGACAGGAGCCTTCCTGAGTCCTGGAGGAAGAGGGCAGAACCAAAAGCTGGATTAGGTTTGTAGCTGGAGAAGGTCCGTGGTTTTCCCATTCGATATTTCAGTGCCCAAAGAGAAATGCTTCCTCTTTGGCCAGAGAGCTCCACCCACTTAAAAATGTATCAACCTTTGAGATGTGTGGACTTCAGCTCCCAGAATTCCCAGCCAATATGGCGATTGCTCAGAATTTGGGGAGCTGAAGGCCACACCTCTCAATGCTACCCAGGTTGGGAAATGCTGTTTTGAGACGATGATGCAGCGCAAAATTACCTGGCGTGAATGCA